CCACCTTGCTTTTGGTTGGCTGCCTCTCAAACAAATGATTTAAACAGCAGGTAGAGCTGCTTACCTGTGGTGGCCATATTAGGAATAGCCACTCTCTCATGAAAAGAACCGTATGAAACTGAGTATTTAGGTGTTTGCAGATGAGACTGTGATCTGAAACTGTGAGCACTGTGAGTAGCAGGGAGTGACTAGAGACTGGAGAGGTGGAGGTATGCTCTTGAGAGAAGAGGATGAAAGTCGGTGGACGCAAGACAGAATGCACGTGTGTAAATGAGAGGGTGAAGACTCAAAAAGTAGAGAAAGTGAAGCTAGATGAGTTTAAATACCTGTAGTCAACCATCCAAAGCAAAGGATGGTGCATAAGAGAGGTGAAGAAGAGAGAGCAGAGAGGGTGGAGTGGGTGGAGATGAGTGTCGGGTGATTTGTGACAGAAGGATGGCACCAAAAGGGGTGGTTTACGAAATAGTAGTGAGATGTTAAGATTGGACGTAAGCTGAAGATGTTATGGTTCTCATAGGCGTGAGTAGAATGGACAAAATTAGAAATTAATCTATAAGAAAGGACAGATCAGGTTGGGCAGTTTGGAGACTAAGTTAGAGAGGTGAGGCTGAGATGGTTTGGACATGTGCAGAGGAGGGATAGGCGACTTATTGACAAAGGATGATGAAGATGGAGCTGCCAGGCAGGAGGAAAAGAGGAAGCCCTCAGAGGATTTTCATGGAAGTAGTGACAGGAGAGGAGGAGGCATCCTCCATCTAGATAATCCATTGCGGAGACGTCTAAAGAGAGACAATTAAATTCTCAAATGTAATTTAGTGTCTTAATTTGATGTCTTCTCTTGTTACAACAAATTTAAAAACGTTGGATCTTTACTGTGACAGAGCTGATGTGCTCTGTGTGGTTTCGTCTCACAGATCTGTAGCGATGCTGTGCGTATAGTTCCAGCTTCCTGTTTGGACGCCTTTGTTGCACCTCCTCTAACAAAGGTGCAGATGTGATGCCCTGAGAACAGTTGTCTCTCCTGTTCACTCTCTGTCACTGCAGTGGAAGCAGGAAAGACAGAGCCTGAGGTTTAGTTCTTAGCGGGACACAGCGCTGTCAGGGCATCAGGTGAGAGCATGTACGGAGCCCCCCCCCCGACTCCTCACCCCACCCAGCACACTCCACTCGTCACCTAATCGGGTCTGACACAATGCCAATTCCACAGTGGGTGGTGCACACAGCTTTATTCATAGATGTGGCAGTCGGGCAGCGATCAGCTCCCAGACTCTGTCGCGCCATATCAGCTAGCACGCAACGGCGGTCACTTATAGATGCTATTGTTGTCTGTGATTTTATGTGTTCTGGCATTTAACAAAATCATTTTTCAAGTGGAAAGCATTTGATGATCCATCAGGATATCTTTCAGGGGCGTTACGAGTGAAACCTGCGAGCCTGTCCGTGCAAAACAGTGTACGAAGGGTGCAGATGTTAGGCCAACGAAATTTAAGCACCAACTTCAATGAAACTGCGACAGAGTGTCCCGAAGGTGTAGGCAAACAATTTACTGAATTGAGCCAGACATAACTGAAAAATTCACGTCTGCGGCACATATAGCTGCTGTATGGTTTCTATTGTTGCCTCTGAAAAGCTGAACAGGAACTGCGACTCAATCATAAAGCGTGCAGGGAAGCAATTTCTTTCTCTTATTCAAGTGAAAAATTATTCTGTGCTGTCACAAAAGACTCCCTAACAAGGTGCTTTAAACTCTCTGGCAGTGCATTGCTGCGGGGTGTCAAAGAGTGGATAAGATATAAATGAAGCTTAAACTCAAAAGTCTGTTTCTGGTAATAGCAGCATTTCGTTCCTTCTCCAATGTGCTTTTGATGTGGAGCTAAGATTAACAGTGTTAAATCGTCTACTTCACTGTCTCAAGCTAGCAACACCGGCATAATGAGCAGAAGGTTGACAACAGGGGCACTTCTTTCAGGTATATGATTGATTTTGTTTTCTGTTGTGCGAGTTGTTGTATGCCACCTTTGACCATTTTGTATTATTAAAAAAGAAATGGGATTTAAGGTGAAAACAAGGAATACCCGGCCGCTGAGGAACGTTTCCTTTCGTCTCCTCTTAATCATGTGATCTGGCCGATGATGGCTGAGCAGCTGAGGAAGCGCGAGGTCCCAAGGAATCCGAGCGCTCAGACCCAGCTGCTCTCTAGAGAGAAGAAAGATTTGCACGTCCAACGTGTCGATCCCTCAGAGTTAATGAGGCCTGCTGTTTGGGCTTCCATTATGAGCTGGCTGCATCCTGAGCCAGGCCGGGTAAAGTCATGCATCATAAAGTTCTGACGCTCGCTGATACATCGTGGACAGTACGCAGAGCTCAGCGTTTCTCACCATCTCTGTAAATAAACGTACCACGCAGCTGACTCTTTTCAGATACACTGCACATTTCGAACACAACCTTTAATGTACTGTTGAAATTACACAGTTGTATACGTGTTCCCGTAACTTTGACACGCACGGTGAGTCACGTTCATGAAAATTGATCCTGAAATGCATGAGTCTGTGTTTATACACTGGAAGAAGCGTCTGTGCTGTGTTCTAAAGTGTGTGCATGTCAAATAATTAGCAGCATGTAAGCAAAGTTTAATATTTGTGTATTTATTTACTTTTACAGTTTATTAAAGTTTGCCTCCCGTTCTGCAGTAATAGTCAAACTGTAGCCTGTGGGCCAGAAATCATATTTGTGCCCTCAGACACGAGCTGAAATTTCACTTTGTTGTTTACAAAGCAGTCACCGTGATCTCATCCCCGAGCGTTTGTGAGATTTCACCAACAAGCTCTCTGTTGTCGTTTATTTATCGTCTGTGGCTTACGTGTGCTGGCTGCAGAGAACCCACGGTCCAGTGACAGAGATCAGGGAAGTCCGCATTAGGCTGCAGGTTTCTCACCCAGGAGGCTGGTGCACACAGTCTCCCGTTTTTCTGACTCATTTGTTTCATTTTTGGAGATTTGTTTCATTTTAGGGTTAGGAAAAGTTTCCCTATTCACAACAGTAATCCTGCATGTTTTAAAAGTGGCACTCTGGGAGTGACAATGTAGTCTCAATATTGTGTCACACGCTGCTGCCAAAGGACACCTTGTGCGTGACTGAAGCATGCCAGCAGCTCTGACAGTGCCATTATTCTCTCGCCATGGGAACGTAAATGGCCTGTCAGAACTGTAATCATGAATCACGGTAACGTGTTTTTAGTTGCTTTAGCTTGGTTACTGTGCAAATTGTGGCTCACTGTGGAGTCCACCGGAGCTCTTCTTCCGATTCAGAGCAAATGAAACTTTTGGAAGTCATGGTAGCTTCCTTTGTCTTCAGCCGCAGTGCTAATGCTAACTTCTGTCAGGACTGTTAATTTACGCACGAGGCGCTCTTAATTGCTTTGTCATTTTTTAAAACGATCGTTTTCATGAATGCCTACTCATCAGTGAGCTCAAGCAGGCCGTCTTCATTTGCAGAGCTGCTGTTAAGAAAATGCTGCTGTGGTGTGCGTTACACTCAATTTTTGGCCCGACAGTCTGCGTTTAGGCATGAGACAGGCCTTCCATCATGAAGTCAAACTGGAGATTACAAGAGATTACAGCATTCTGTTATTCAAAGAACTTAAGTTATTACACGCCTCAGGTCACCAGCGACATTTTGGGGAAAAAAAACATCTATACAAAGCTTTCTTAATCCTTCTTGACACTTTGACAAAAACAGTGTTAAAAACAAATATTTTGAGGAATACCAGCGACTTGAGTGTCGAACTGGCGGGGATGAATGAATTACAGAGGGTGCAATATAGTCGTGTGCACACCTGAGGGTAAAATGCACACAGACGGAGTCGATAACACCAGAAGTGCTGGGTGACTGGATCTGTAATTACGCTCTTGTTCTGCATACAAAAATATGTTTTCTCTAAATCTCCTATTGACCAATCTGATTCCTTTATGTGACCGAGTAAACCGAACGCTTAGTTCACGCTCATCCAGCTCCCAGATGCCACAATTAGGAGCACCTCAAAGGTCAGCTCAGATCTTTGCCCATGTTGCAATATTGAAAATCAAATCTTCTGTAAAGATTCAGTCGGCCCCAGATCTAGGGAAGGTCATCCGAGTGTCGCTGATTTTCTGAAAAAGCTCGGCCACGCAGCGCGAAGAGCGTCGAGTTCAAGCCTCTGGGGTGTCTAAAAGGACACACACGCACCTGTGACGGGATTGCACCATGAGCCGAAGCTGGAGGGGAGGAGGGGGATTCTCGAAGTCTGAGGATGATTGGCAGAAAATGTCAGGCACAACACGTCAGCCCCATACAGGCACAGCAGGCAGATGTCAGATGCTGCATGATAAGAAGGAGGGCAGACTCACAAGGAAGAAGAAGAAGTGGCATCTTCAGAGAGTTATGTCATCCTTTCAGACTCTTTCACAGATTAGGCCCCGGCACAGCTCGCACCCGAAATCTTTTTGTGCTCAGAGTATGATTAAATAAGTATCTCTCGACCTATCGCCCAAATGTACGAGACTTAAAAAACAGCTATCTTCTAATGTTTTCCCCTTCTGTTTCTTCTGCTATCGTTATTTTCCAAACAGAGGGATTAGTCAGGGTCACAGTTTTTTCCACATACTTGTGTTGCACAGAAGGAAATGCTCAACCTTCTGGGCTGCACACCACCGGGGCCTGAGCCAGGGTCAGATATCTCAGAGGGGAAAGGCAGACCCAGGACCGTTGGCTGCATCTTAATTATGGTGAAAGTGTTTTGGTTGACCTTGAGGCCATGCTTCATCCTTTTTTAGTAAGGTTTTTGTGAAGCTTTAACTCGAAGCTAGACTTGTGTTACTTATATACATCTGCTATACCCTTTCTTTCCTTTTAAAGCTGAACGGATCACAGATAAGTTTCTTCAGAGTGATGTAAATGTTCATTACCTCTTTGAGGTTTCTCTCCGAGTCACAGCCACCGTATGTTCCTTTCTCTGTTTTCAGGGCAGCGCTCCCATGGCCCACCCTGAAGATGAGCTGGAACGCCTGACCAAGAAGATGCTGTACGACATGGACAACCCTCCGTCCGAGGAATATTTTGGTAAGATGCCAAATCTCATTTCACCAACACCTGATCAGCAACATGCTTTTGCTAAGAAAACATAGATGTAGCGTATGCTAACGTATAAGTGCCTTGAACCTGCATTCTTTTTAACGGTCAGCAGGGGGCGACTTCTTTGGTTGTAGAAAGAAGTGTGACTATATTGAAGTCTATGAGAAAATATGAGTTTGGTTTCTTTGATCTCCAACCCGAGTAAGAACTTTACTAATGAGTTTATGGTCTCAAGTCTTATTGAATGCAACATGATGGTCATTTCGGAAATTTTTATCCCTAATACTGTTAGAAAGGAGGATGTAGATGCTGATCAATTCCTTCTTCATGCTGCAACGGACAAAAAGCTTAGCTCGAGATGTCAAACAGCTCTTCATTCAGCAATAAGTGGACTCAGAGCAGGTTTTATATGCAGTAAATGATATGGACAGTTAGGATGCATTAGTATTTCTTTTACAGTTGATCTGCAGTATATGCAGTTTTTATGACAACTGGAATACCAGGTCATTCCTGAAATTACAGGTTTTTTGGAGGTGTATTAAGTAATATACTTTGCATTTTTCTATATGAATGTGAGACGAACTAAAAAAAATTGCCGAAACAAAAGTCCGAAATGCTGAAAATACAAATATGTACGAAATGCAAGTGATTTAAAATAATAAATTAATAAAAAAAATTTTAACAAAATATTACGACTTGAGTCAACCATTTAAAAACACATTTACAATCTAAAAGTATTCTTTAAGTGTAACACCAAATCCAACCAGCATTGAACTTATTCATATTTTCATTTTAGAAACGAGGTTAATGTAATAACCTGCATTTGTCAGGTTATCACTTTTTAAGCATACAGCAGCAACCTGCATGCTGGCGTGCATGAACATGCTTCGTGTTATTATAACGTTTTTGCACCTTCTGGTTTAACTAACCAACCACAGAGCTACAGCCTAGTGGAACTAATGAATAGCACCAGCATCCTTATTTTCGTATTGACAGAGCACCGGATTATCTTATTTATTAATTTGGCACCTCAGACGCTTTATTGTCTGCTACACAAAAATCTTGGGAAACATTTTGAAGTTGAATACAAAACTTGCATATTTGCCATATATGGGCATCAACTGACTGTCTTAACATTCATAAAGACAGTTGGATATTTTCTCTTTTATAATATCACAGTGTTTCTTAATTGATTTCTCCCTCAGCCCCTTCCTCCTGTTCCTGTTCCTATTACCAGACATGGTGACAGGATCATTTGCCTTGTCCCTGTTGTGTTTTCATATATGGTAGCGACATATTTGCTCCGTATAGCGCTCGGGGTGATTTAATGTTCTCCCTCAGCCCCGCTTTGCTGCTTGAACAAATCTAAATAGTAATTTTTGCTGTAATTGGATCTGGAATCTCAGCAGTAAGTGTCGCTGACATGACAACAGTCATAGGTGCTAGTAGAAAAGTGGTTAAAATTAGCTCATTACTCACTGTTTGGGTCACGTGTAAGTATTACTGGGAAGAGCGTTGCAGATAAACAGCATTCTTTTTGAAGGATTTCAAAAGCAGTTCTTCAAACATTAGTGCAGGCAGTGTGATCTCATTAGGAGCACTCACTCTGTCATTTTCACTGTGACATTTTGTGAAACTAAAAGTAGAACCAAACAGGCTCCTTAGTTACTTTTAAAAAAGCAAAGAAACTGAGACTGAGTGTCTGCTGTTGGGTTTGATTGCTGACTAGCAAAATGTGGAATTGTGGGTTAAAACGGAAAAACCTGAATTAAGAGTTCCTAGATTCATCCTTATAGTGACGTAAGTTAGGTTGGTATCTGGTTCAGTGGTTGGTAGTAACTATTGGAGATTTTCTGTGTTTGAACTGCAGGAACTGCAGACCATTGTAGTTCTTAGAAGTCAGATTTCAGGACTGTAATTGGTCCAGACGTAAGTGTACGTTTGTCATGATCCTGGGGTTTTCCAGCCTTTTGTTCTCTTGATAGAGTTGTTGTTTTTGTGCGTCTGTTTGAGTTTCTTCTGCCTCCTGTCTTCCCCTGTCTCTGCTATTTTGTTAGACTGTATGTCTCATTGTTTGTCTCATTTCCTGTTTTGCCTTGAAGGTTATTTTCCCATCTCTGTTACCCTAGTTTTATTTCCTGCTTGTTCCCTTTTTGTTTGTCCCTCTTTCATTGGTTTAAGTTTTGAAAACTTCCACCTGTGTCTCATTCCCTCCTGGAACTCTTAGTGTAATTGGTTCCCAGCGCAAACATAATCTTATGTATGCATTAGGATTGTGTAGGTCACCACTTGGTCAAGTTGTGTTGCTAAGCCTTTCTCCATTGCCTCTCCATCACTCAACTTGACAATACTGATTTGTTGAACACATGAAGGCATCATGAAAACCACCTTTAAAGTGACACTGGAAAATAATTGGCTATTGCAACAACAGCTCTTCGTGTTGGCATTAAAAAAGAAGTAAAACACACAGAAATGATCTGACCATGAAGTCCAGGCTTTATTTACGCAACAGGGGAAATGCAACATTAAAAAAGTATTCGTTAATTCGAGAGAAATATAAAAATCTTTGGTTCTCTTAGACCCCATTAAACACAGGCCTAGAAAACAGTTGTCATCATTTGCTAGGACATAATCCCCAGAAACCACTTGTTTGTGATTGGTCGCAAAGAGATGCTCATAATAGCTTTGGTAACTAGCAGATCACTATAACTCGTGGCATCTTTGCTAAGAGCTACTGAAACTGTGAAAACTGCAGTGCAAATCAGAAATGGGCAAAGTTCACCTTCAGACAAAAGTTGTACCTTTTGATTTTCTTTGAACTCTGTTGCACTCTTCAGTTTCATCAGCACTCTTTGGTTGGTTTGCAGACAGGTCGGTGTCTTCCAATAAAACTATGAGCAACCACGGCAATCTGTTAGAAACCAAAGCAATCACAGATGTGTTTTTGGTACAGCACCCTCTTTGTGACCAGTTTCCCCCAGTGACAGCCAGTAAACCAGTAAGCGGTTGGGGAGTATACATTTTTCCCTAGTAACCAAAGTTTTTCAGCGAGTCTCCAATTAATTTGCCAATAGGGGCACAGTGATGAAATGGTGAAAGAAAGGCAACCAGAAGATGTGACTGTAGGTTATAAACCACTGACTATTTATCACATTATTTCAGAGTAAATATTCATGTTGCAAATACAAAGAGGAAAAGGAATATAGAAAGATGTGTAATTCCTGCAGGACCTCCTCGGCAGGTCATTACCTACAGGTAATGGCTCAAGCATTGAACGCAGTGCAAAGCTACCCTGTATTCTTGTTTCTCTTATCTATTAATTTTCATGGTGTAGAAACAGCACTGACTGTTCTTGTCTGGGAAGAAGTCCTCAAGGTAGAGTCTCAGAACTATATCAGTTTGATCAAAGGCGAAAGCACAACTCTGGCTCAAGGTGTAATGAGAACGAGGCACACAGTGAAGGTGTTGGACAGATGAAGGAGATGGATTTTAATATATCTCTATATCTTGGTTGAGTGTCCATCTTTTCACAGCATTTCCCCTTTCTCCCCCTGTGTAGCACTTATATTTAATTTTGCTATAATTGTGAAACAAAAATATATATATAACTGCCAGGATTAAACAAAATACCAGTTTTAATACTATTTTGCAAAATAGGATTCAGAAGGCAAGGATTCTGTGCATTTTTATTTCATTTCTATTTTTCCGCCCTCTGCACCCACAGCTGCCAGCGAGTGCCATCCCTCTGCTGCTCTCTTTTCTCTAGCCTTTAATCCCCTTTGCCCTGGAATTAGTTCCCATGCCCATTAGATACCTCATTCAATACATTCAGTGGGACTCTGCAGCAGGCTTTATATCAGCACATAATCACACAGCACACCATGATACCATGTGTAGGTGTATTATAGCTACAGGGACGTGTATTTAACTGGTATTAAGGGATATTCGGCTTCACGTTGGTGCGCACTCATGTAAAGACCTTAATTGGTTCGCATTAGACATAGGTCAAACGGATCTGCTGGCTTAAACAAAGTATAGTCGCTTTACTGAGGAATGGCCTAATTTTTGGGTGTATGTGTTGCAGCCTGGGCATGAACTCTGTGTACTGCTATACCATGCATGCAGTCACCCCCGTTTGCCAGCTCTGAGGCCGACTGGCTGAAGGCTGGTAAAGCAAGGACATGGGGAGTTGAGAAATGGGTCATATGTGAGCTGAGGTAGCCAGAGCAAGTTAGGGATAGCGTGTGCATCCCCAGCTGACAGCGTATGTCTGTTACGGGAGCGGAAGAGGAGGAGGGGGAGGGAGGGTCATCTTGTGGTTAAACATGGCGACAGCGGTGAGAGATGGGAAGAGGGTTAGGGCAGGAGCCGGAGACTGAGGCGACTGCTGGGACTCATTAGGAGGGAGTTCAAGCGCAGGCAGATGCTGCTCTGGAAATCCACAGAGCCGTCTTCCTCCCCCGCTGAATAATGTACATACACTCAGCACAGCGATGTGAGAATCAGCGGCGGTCCGGCATGTTTCCTTCTGTATATCCAGAGCTGTGGGAGAATTGGTCTCAGAGCGCAAGACTTTTGTAATTACAAAGGATCTAATGACACGTAGGCCTCTTCTTTTTTTGTCGGGGATATTGGGGGAAAGAGGGCTAACAGTTGTTGAAACCCTAAGGCTAGTAATTAACAAGATTAATCAACGTGGGGCTGCGATCTCAAGCGCGCTACTGGACTGGATCATTGTCTTCCTATAGCAAAGTTTTATTGGTGTCACTAATGTCTTTGATGAGCTTCTAATCTGAAACAGCCGTAGTGAGTTTTCATTGGTCCAGAGGGGGTTAATTGAATTGAATTAACGTTATACTCTGGCTCTGTGATGTCACCAGGAAACTTTTCATTAGACTCAGCGGAGCACCACACCATCATTACGCTTTCCTGCTGCAGTCCAGCAATTACGCCGGACAAGTCTTTGAAGACTTTCTGCGGCGACATTT